CTGGTAGATGGGGGACGGAGGTGGAGCCTGGTAGATGTTGGACGGTGATGGAGCCTGGTAGATGGGGGGCGGAGAGGGAGCCTGGGAGATGTTGGATGGAGGCTGGTAGATGGGGGGCGGAGAGGGAGCCTGGTAGATGTTGGATGGTGATAGAGCCTCGTAGATGGGGGCGGAGAGGGAGCCTGGGAGATGTTGGATGGTGATGGAGCCTCGTAGATGGTGGTGGAGAGGGAGCCTGGGAGATTTTGGACGGTGATGGAGCCTCGTAGATGGTGGTGGAGAGGGAGCCTGGGAGATTTTGGACGGTGATGGAGCCTCGTAGATGGTGGTGGAGAGGGAGCCTGGGAGATTTTGGACGGTGATGGAGCCTCGTAGATGGTGGTGGAGAGGGAGCCTGGGAGATTTTGGACGGTGATGGAGCCTCGTAGATGGTGGTGGAGAGGGAGCCTGGGAGATTTTGGACGGTGATGGAGCCTCGTAGATGGTGGTGGAGAGGGAGCCTGGGAGATTTTGGACGGTGATGGAGCCTCGTAGATGGTGGTGGAGAGGGAGCCTGGGAGATTTTGGACGGTGATGGAGCCTCGTAGATGGTGGTGGAGAGGGAGCCTGGGAGATTTTGGACGGTGATGGAGCCTCGTAGATGGTGGTGGAGAGGGAGCCTGGGAGATTTTGGACGGTGATGGAGCCTCGTAGATGGTGGTGGAGAGGGAGCCTGGGAGATTTTGGACGGTGATGGAGCCTCGTAGATGGTGGTGGAGAGGGAGCCTGGGAGATTTTGGACGGTGATGGAGCCTCGTAGATGGTGGTGGAGAGGGAGCCTGGGAGATTTTGGACGGTGATGGAGCCTCGTAGATGGTGGTGGAGAGGGAGCCTGGGAGATTTTGGACGGTGATGGAGCCTCGTAGATGGTGGTGGAGAGGGAGCCTGGGAGATTTTGGACGGTGATGGAGCCTCGTAGATGGTGGTGGAGAGGGAGCCTGGGAGATTTTGGACGGTGATGGAGCCTCGTAGATGGTGGTGGAGAGGGAGCCTGGGAGATTTTGGACGGTGATGGAGCCTCGTAGATGGTGGTGGAGAGGGAGCCTGGGAGATTTTGGACGGTGATGGAGCCTCGTAGATGGTGGTGGAGAGGGAGCCTGGGAGATTTTGGACGGTGATGGAGCCTCGTAGATGGTGGTGGAGAGGGAGCCTGGGAGATTTTGGACGGTGATGGAGCCTCGTAGATGGTGGTGGAGAGGGAGCCTGGGAGATTTTGGACGGTGATGGAGCCTCGTAGATGGTGGTGGAGAGGGAGCCTGGGAGATTTTGGACGGTGATGGAGCCTCGTAGATGGTGGTGGAGAGGGAGCCTGGGAGATTTTGGACGGTGATGGAGCCTCGTAGATGGTGGTGGAGAGGGAGCCTGGGAGATTTTGGACGGTGATGGAGCCTCGTAGATGGGGAGCGGAGAGGGAGCCTGGGAGATGTTGGATGGAGGCTGGTAGATGGGGGGCGGAGAGGGAGCCTGGTAGATGTTGGATGGTGATGGAGCCTCGTAGATGGTGGTGGAGAGGGAGCCTGGGAGATTTTGGACGGTGATGGAGCCTCGTAGATGGGGAGCGGAGAGGGAGCCTGGGAGATGTTGGATG